TCCTCCTTTTAGAATTCTCTTTGCTGTTCAAAAAATGCAAATTTTTCACTCTGCTGCTGGGCCCTGAGAGCCTCCTGTCAGGTTCGGAGCAATGCCTCTGCAGTGGGGTTGAAATTAAACCTTCAGCTGAAAACAGCACAAGAGCTAGGAACAGTTTACATCCTTAGAACAGGTCTTTGGTGGGATGTGGGCTATGCTCAGCCTTTGTGATCCTTGGCCCAGAGGTGGTTTTCACCCTGGGAGCTATCAGCTACCAGCATCAGGCTGAGGCTTGCAGTGAAACACAGTGGAAGTGCTTCTCCCATTGCAGTATCGAACCCTAAACCCTTTCCCTGCAGATGCTTGTCAGGCTGTTTAATTTGAGGAGGAAAAATAATGTAAAGGAAAATACTGAGACACGAGACTTCCTCCTTCCATTCCCCCAGTTATATCAGGGAACTGAGCTCAAAAAGCACGTCTGCCTAGTAAGGTAGAGCAAAGCTCCTGAACCCTTCATTTTCACCCAGGAAGCACAAGTGATGTTTTATTAATAGACGTAGTGAGGTTCACAGGAAGTGTGGCTAAAATCCCTTCGTACTGTGGCGTTCCACGTTGCACCCGCTTTAATAATTCATCAGCTGAAATGTCTGTTGCTTCTGCGAACTGACGTTGTTGTTTGTGTTTTGTTCACAGCTGCGGGTCTTCAAATTGGCCAAGTCGTGGCCGACTTTAAATACTCTCATTAAAATCATCGGTAATTCAGTGGGCGCCCTTGGGAACCTCACCCTCGTGCTGGCGATCATCGTCTTTATTTTCGCCGTGGTAGGAATGCAGCTTTTTGGGAAAAGTTACCTGGACAACGTTAAGAAGATAAGCACAACTGGCAATTTGCCACGGTGGCACATGAACGATTTCTTCCATTCGTTTCTCATCATCTTTCGAATCCTGTGCGGGGAGTGGATCGAGACCATGTGGGACTGCATGGAAGTAGCTGGGCAGCCCCTGTGCCTTCTCGTCTTCTTGTTGGTCATGGTGATTGGAAACCTGGTGGTGAGTTGTCCAGATGGTTTTTTCTCCTTTTCCTGCTGGGTGTGTGGAAATGGATGTCCTTTTATCCAGAAAGTGCAAAACTTGTCTTGCTTCGAGGCTTTAGTTTTTGCTGAACCAAGGTCTCACCCAGAGACGTTTGTTCATATCCCAAGTCCAAAAGGGGTGTCATTTCATTGCTAATTGGGATGGAGACTTAATGTTTTTGCAGAAGGACGGGTAATGTTTTAGAGGAAAAAAAATCACACAGGCTTGCTATAATGATTTTATTCCTTAAGGCATTGGTGAGACTTAAGAGATTTGAGATCTCTTTTCAGGAGTGAATATCACCTTAACTGTCACTATAATGGGAGATATTTTTATTTCTGTTCATTTCTGGTCCAGAACAAGTGAGCCTTACAGCCAGCACAGTGTCTTTGAGAGGAGTTTCAGATGTGTTTAGCTGGCGTCTTCTAGGAAGCTGCAGGTTATGTTTACAGTTAAGTCACTTGCTCATTGCTTTTTTAATAGACCGTCCCATAAGCTTGGCTTACATAAGCTCTGAACCTATTAAGGCTGAATTGTATTTCCCTGTTGACATCTTACGGAGCGCTTTGCTGGCTTGCAGTCATTGTGGAAATGTTTTGCCCGTTCAGCTTCCAGAGCATCTTTGACATTGAGGCTCTAATGGGCTTACTGTTTATGCAGTGAGTTGTTTAATAGTGGATGCAGCCATAAAATTGTTGGGCTTTGCTATGGACTGCTTTTAGTGGTTGTTTTGCTTTTTAAGTACCTGGTGTTTTGCTTCTTGGTTGCTGGGATAGAAAACACCTTGAAGGAGCTTATGAAAGAAATGAGCGCAGTTTTTGTGTTTGCATTAATTTAAATTTTAATAATTAGATTTTTGATTTCAAGAGAAAGCTGCGGTTTATAGATTTTTGTATAAATCAAAAGATTAAGCTATGATTACTCAGAAAGTGGCAGAATTTCTTTTTGCCTTCACTTTTACTTTCTACCTCGTTTTTCCTTGAGCTTTCTTTCCAGATTAGGTGATGTGGGACAAGTTATGACTTTCTGCACATTTTTGCAGGGAGCTCAGCCTAAACTGAGAAATTTAAGCTCCTCCTACTGTTAGTCAATGGATTCTGTGTTTGTATTGAAATCTGAAAATAATACCTGGAAAATTCGGGGGGATATGTTCATATTTGAAATATTAATGGATTACTCAGTGAATGTGCAACATCTTATTCCCTTAGAAATTAAAACTCATGGGACTGCATGGGGATTGTTAAATATAAAATCCAATTCAGAGGAGATTGTATGAACAGCATCCACATATATTTAACCTTCGTGCTCGGAAAAGACTGTTCCAGGTGTACAACCAGATATTGAAGGCCTCTGTCAGCATGAATAATCTGAAGTTACTGGTCAGCTGAAGGCAAAAGTGCCAGCTTCATGCTTTTCAGCCATCAGTTCTGTACACACATAGCAAAGACTGGGGAATAGGGGTGAGTATTGTATGTAAAGGTGAAAAAAATAAGAAGAAAACGATCCATAGGTGTGATAGTGCAATAGTACCAGGCAAATGGGAAAAGAACAGCAGGTTCTGAATCATGAGGCTCATTCCATGCCAAGCACATGGAGATTTTGTGACGTTAATTATCAGGTAGAAAGAAGATTCTTTTCTCCCACAACATTAGCAGAAGTCTTGGTTTCTTCAGTGAGAGTCGGCTGAATTCACAAAATCACTCATTTGCTGAAGAGCATCAGACAAAAGCTCAGCTAGCCAAAAAGCTCTAATAACTCTTTAAAAGCTCTGGCTGCAGACTGGGGTGGGAAGAGTTACAAGCACTGTGATTCTGTGATACACTCAGTGCTTGGGTCTGCAGGTCTTATCGAGCCTCACTAACATAAATTCAAAGGAATGGTGGAAGAAAAGCATGGAAAATTAGTAAGTGCCCTGGGCAACTTCATGCTATAGAGCAGTCAAGCTGCTGAAAGGAATTTTAGTAATTCTTAAGTCTTTGGTTGGTATTCGTATATCCCGAAAATGTCTTGTGCCACTGCCATGTGAAAGTATGTGCACTGCTGGTCAGCTGATATTTGAGTCATCCTCAGAGAACTAAACCTTACAGCATAGTTGGGAAATGACGTGCTGTGTGACTGCCTTCTGCACAGCAACACTGGCAGCATTTTTAGAGTCATGGAAGCTACTTTGGAAGGGAAAGCCAAGCCAGAGGAATGATAAAATAGGCTCGCTCTCATGTGTAAGGACTTCTGAAATTGCTAACTGAATAATTACGATTACTGTTGAAACTTAACATATTTGTTCCTGAGTTTAGTAAGGAAAATAACTGAGAGAGGAGTTATTAAAAAGGCAGAGAGGAGTTTGGGTAACAAGGCAGTCCTTACTGCCCTGCTCTGCTGGGTCAGCAGTGTCAGAGCTGAGGGTGACAGCAGCCACTTCTCAGGGGACAACCTCCTACAGTGGGGACTGCTGCTGTACTAATGACATGCATGAATAAAGTTGACACTCCAATCATAGAAAGAACAACCTTCCAACCTTTTTGCATGAGTCTGACGTGTGCTGGCCAAGCTGCCCCTTCATTCTTGTCCCTGCTGCTCGGATAAAGTGAGATTTCTACCAGCTTCTTCCAGCATGGTACAAAGTAAGGTCTATGCTTTGAGTTATTAGCATGCCAGGGTGGATGGTCTGTCACAAGAGAAGATGGTCAAGTTTTTACAGGGATGAAAATTGAAATAAAAGGTGGGAAATGCTCTTTATCATTGGTCATGGGCAGTCCTTTTGTCCAGTATCAATGTTTGTAACACAGAAAAATACCGAGAACCTTTTCTGAGAACATACATAAAATAGAAAGCATCACAAATTTCCAGGGTGCCCAGCTATCCTGCAGGAAGAACTGCTTGTCATCATTGAATTAATATATGATACATGAAATTATGAAAAACAAATTGTAAGGTCACACACTCCCCCCTGTTTAAGTATTTATGTTTTCATAGAATCATAGAGTCACAGAATCATTAAGGTTGGAAAAGATCATCTAGTCCAACCATCATCACCATGCCCACTAACTCTGGCCCTCAGTGCCACATCTACCCTTTTAAGTAGTTTATCAACAGGGAACCTTTGTGAGGATATAAAGATATACCTATCATTCACTGCGAGCATCCACATCTAAGATGACCACACAGATCTATCTTTGCAGTCAGATCTGGTCAACAAAGTCCATGAAGTCATAAAATATCCTACCCAAAGGTAAGGCTAAGCTGTCAGATTAAATAGACCTCAAAAGTGCTTGTTTCTGTCCCACCAACTCAGCTGTAGACACCCACATTTATTTATCACCGGTTAATTGAGCCAACAACATGCTGCACCTATTAGAGAGCTAAATGAGATTCTAATATGCATCAGGAAAGGTAATTACAGAGGAGAAGGGAGAGTATCAATGCTGTTGTGCAGTGCTCTGCAGTACTGGATGTGCAGCATATTCCTTCAGTGACTTCAAGAGAGATTAAGTCAAACTGGGAAAAGCAAAGAGATTTTAATTAGATGAGGGAATGCAGAAGTAGGCAGGGAGAACTGTGTAGGTAACAAGAAAGAGCTCTTTTCAGAGGAGGAAGATAAATCACCCATAGGTGCCCTCAGAAAAGGAAGCCTCAGGCTATCAGTGCAGTGAGGTTATCTAAGAAGACTTTTCCACAAGACTGCTAGCCCCAAACCAGCAGCCTGTGAGATGGAACTTGGTAAATTTCTGAAGGAAGCAATTCAACAGCCCATGTCAGTAGGGGTCTTGACTTGGTGACCTGAGAGGACCTTCCAGTCCTCTTTTCCCATGATAATTTGAGTGCTTGTCAGCAGGGCTGCTCAGCATGATTTGGATGAGAATTGAAGTGGCTTGCTTTAGTTAAACCCAGTAGAAACTTGTCTTTAAAAAAAAAACTGGATGCCCTGGAGTCTGTCCTTTTATACCACTTTCACATCTGTGGAAGCCTTGATGTTTTGATGGAAGCCTTTTCTGTTTTGACACGGCCTATGACTGTGATACACAGAAAAACAGAAATGTCACATTCTTGGAAAGTAGAAGTTTTTCCTTCTCCACATTCTTTTACTGAAGTCAGTATGGGATGGTTCCTTGAAGAAGTATTCTAAGAAAGTGCTGCTAAACATCCATCAGATTAAAATCTGCAGATCCTTAAACCCAGCAGATGACACAATATCTCAGCAAGTCTCATTAACCACCATTTCGTTCTTTAACATCCAAAGTCTGCTGATAAAACAGCATATCACCAAAGCAGCTCTGACAGAGTGGTCTCTGCAGTGTCAGGTCTCTGCAGCAAGGCAAGAGAGTATGAAACCAAGGTCCAGGGAGTGTGAACAAATGGGAATTTCTTAGTATTTTGACTTCAGAGTGTCCTTTCACAACAGTCTCCCTTCCAACTACTGGTTGTTCTGAGCACCACCAGTGTAACATGGAAGGGAACAAATATTCTAGAATGAGAAGGGAGGAAAGGCCAGTTAGCATGGTTCCTGCCCTGACAGATGTGCCAGAAGTAGATTTGAGTTGGGATGGTTTGAGTAGGGAAGTGACTAAAGGTATGGGTGATGCTTAGCCAGTGAGAATTGCTTGCTAATTTCCTATCCCAAATCATCTTTATAAGTCCCCAAGAACCCAAAATGTCCCCGAGAACCACAAGGAGGGGCTGGGTGCCATGTACCTATCTAATACTTCATTATTGTGGCTGTAATCCTACTTTAAGGCAAAATCACTTTCTGGATGTGCCTGCAAGTTTCTATCTATCCAGATTGTTTTTATTCCTATTTATTTGTTTATTTAATATGAAGAGTGAAGCAAAGTTGTGTGATAAATAATTCTAGTTAATTTGCTTTGCTTCATCTTTGCTTTGATAGCTTTGTTGCCTTTTGTTTTGTGATTCTGCAGTCAAACAAACAGAGCAAAAACTTCAGAAGAGAGGTAGCTGTGATGTATAGTGTATAAATGTGT